AGGGAATTTTGGGAGTCTATAATTTTTGCTCTTAATGAATCTTTTACAAAGTTTGTAAATCTCTGTTGTTGTTTTTAATGTTTTTATTGATTTTTAGAGGGAGAGGGAGAGAGAGCATGCCCCCAACATTAGCATGTGCCCTGACTGGGAATCTAACCAGTGACCTCTTGGTTCATGGGCCAGTGTTCAACTACCAAGCCACACCAGTTAGGCAACATCTTTATTTTTTATATCTACCCATTCTCAGGGGAAAATGTATGAGAGCTTATAATAAAATACAGACAAAACCAGGAATTTTAATATGAGAACAAAACCTTTTTAATTGCATCTTATAATGCAGAAAATAATGGATTAAGAAAGCCAACTTGCATTTAAAAAAACAAAGAACTACTAACTTCCTGACAGTCATTCTTAAAACAAATTCTAAAATGATTAATGAGTGTCCTGGCCAATGTGGCTCAGTTGGTTGAGCATCATCCCTTGCACCAAAAGGTCACTAGTTCGATTCTTGGTCAGGGCACATACCCAGGTTTTGAGTTCATCCCTGGTTGGGGCACATATGGGAGGCAACCAATCAATGTATCTCCCCCCCCATCCCTTCTTCACTCTCTAAAATTGACACACATATATTTTTAAGAAATAAAATGTAAAAATAATGAGAGAAGTTAAGGTGGTACCTGTCACACTCTTATGAGAAAAGCACGCTACTCCACACCTACTCTACCACCATAATCTGAATCAGACACCCATCCTGTGCACCATGCATAGGCCCTCCTTTTGCCTTCCTGCACCCCTCAAACTTGGATTTTGGTTCTGATCTTTGGCATCACCCATAATCCCTCCGACAGTTTAAAGGTCACTACCATCACCTGCTCAGAGCTGTTTCTCCTCCCTACTTTGGGGTGTTCCTTTAGTCTGTCTCACCAGGAATGTGATCACTGGAGTTGGACTTGTAAGTGGAATAGGGCCTTTATCTCCCCCTTGTAGCCTAAGTGTAGCCTCTCCAAGTTAGTCTGATATTAGTTTCCCCCAGAGCGTAACCTTAGATGTTTTGACTTACATTCATGTGTGTGTTGAGATGTGCAGGTGAATGATGGCAAACAACTAGAGGGCGTTGATGAAGATGAAGATGAAGATGAAGATGATGAGAATAGTGAGAATAATTGGCGCAATGAGTACCCAGAGGAGGAGAGCAGTGACGGAGATGATTCCAGAGGTAGGTGGGTGGCAGCCTTGGCTGGGGAGGGACTGCTGGGATCCAAGACTGAGGCATGTGTACAGAAGACAGATCCATTCTAGCTAGCTTTCCTTCTCCATTGAGCTCGTGCAGCTCAATCATAAGCTGTTGGAGCTATAGAAGACCCACAGACCAGTGTTTGAGCCGGGGCGGGGCGGGGGGGGGGGGTATTAGAATGTAATGTCAGTCAGGTGTGGGTTCAAATCCTTAGTTCTATCATTGCCTAGCTGTGGATCTTGGGCAAGTTACTTCATCTTATTGAACCTCATTTTCCCTCCAGAAAATGAGAATATTGCATCAACTGGTAGAGATTAAGTGAAACATGTAGCTCAGTGTCTCTGCTTCGGTTTAAAAAAGTATTGGAGAGGTTCTAAGTGCCAACAAAAAGAATTTATTTGTGTCTGTTAATGGAGGAACGATTAGATCAAACTACAGAATATTCTGTAGTGCCCATAATATATTAAAAGGGGCAAGGTTCAACATTATATTTACAATATAACTACAACTATTATTATATTTTTAAAAAATTCTATACTTATGGGAGAAATGACAAAATATCCCAATGTTAAAAGACTTGGTTTAAATGGTAGAAATGAGATCTTTTCGAATTGTTCCCTTGAATTCTCTTTATTGAGCAAGTATTTTTAAGTAATGAACCAAAATAAAAAACAAACAAACAAAACCAGCCCAGCTGGTGTAGCTCAGCAGTTGAGCATCGACCCAGAAACCAAGAGTCACTGTTTCGACTCCCTGTGAGGGCACATGCCCGGGTTGCAGGCTCGATCGCCAGTGGTGGCTGTGCAGGAAGCAGCTGATCAATAACTTCCTCTCTCATCGATGTTACTATCTCTCTATCCTTCTCCCTTCCCCCCCTCTAAAAATCAATAAAAAATTATTTTTAAAAAAACCCGGACCTTTTTGAGATGGGAAGGAGCTCACAGTCGCCAAAAAAAAATGATGCAGGTGGAGTCCACCCCCTTTCTCTCATTCCAGGCTCTGATGAATGCAACGGCCTCAGTGAAGAGGAGAGAGGCAGTAGCAGACCACAGGTGTGGAGCAAATACCCTTTGGATGTGCAGAAGGAGTTTGGCTATGACAGCACTCATGACCTGGACTCGGACTGAGGATCTATCACAGGCCCTTGAGGGCTCTGACTGCCTTATCAGCCACCCTGGTAGTGGGTTTCCTGGCATAACACACGGAAGGAGAAAGCATGTCCAACAGCACCATCATAGCAGTGAAAACGTGTGCTGAAGGAGTATCTCTTTTCCATTAATAGTAGGATGCTTTGCCTCATTCAAGTGACCCTACAGTCTAGGGGACAAAAAACAAACAAAAAAACATAAAATGAAGCTTCCTGGCCTAGGCATTTTCCTGCTCTTCTATGCTAAAGCCAGTAAGTGGAAGAGAGGCTGTTTCATGAGAACTTAGGTTCAACTTTCCCATGCCACCAGGCACCGCCCCCAGTAAAAGCCTGATTTTTTTTTGACGGGAAAATGTAGAAGGGCCACAGTGGGTCTCTTGTAGGAACACACACTGAGTAGTAATGGCCAGTAGAGGAAGAATCTGCCTGAGCTGTGAGGGGTTTGGTTGACAGTTGTCTCTACCTCCCTGCTTCCTATGATAATGACTGTAAAGATTGCTCTTTCGTTAGCAATGGTACCAAGGAGCAGGGTATGTATGAATGTGATACTCTGCATTTAGTAAAAACACTAACTATGGGAGCAAGTAATTCCTTTAAAACCTTGTCAATCTGAATATGTTTTCCATTGTGCTCCCTCTCCCCTTCCTGCCCCCACCAAAAATGGGGGAGTAGTGAGATAAAAGTTTCACAATTGACCTGAGACACACAGGACTTAAAGCAAATTAGGAAAAGGGAAACACATCCCGAACTTAGCTTTCCACTAAGAAATGTTTAACTATTTACAGCACTCACCAAAAACTATCAATAGGACAAAATTTCTCCACCAGAATTTACATTTCTGCCCCTACCCCTTCCAAAGCACAGATGCCTTAACTCAGACTGAGTTGGCATTTAGTCTTTAATGTAGCATTCATTGTCAGTAAAACTTTTGCAAAGACGAGTGTGTCCTGTATATCCCCTGTGCAGTGGTAGCCACTAGCTACATGTGGCTGAGCACTTTCAATGTGATTAGTGTGAGGAATTTTTCAACTAGCTACATGTGGCTAGTAGCTACTGTACTGGACAGCGCAGGTATAGGGCAATCAATACCCAGAACCTTCTATTCAAGACGTGCCCTCTTGCCCCATGGCGCACACTCACTATCACAGGGGAAGGTGAATTACACAGGGATGTGTCTTCCCGCATCTTTTAAAGACTTCATAAGCATCTACTTTCCCATCCTGCCTAAGCCCATTTATCTACATCGGTTCCTATGTACACAGAGTTGTTAACCCTGGCAAAATGATTAAATTGTATGTGTATGTGTGCTCAGGCTCTACTCTTGTGGCTCTAAAACCAACAGACTATTGGTTTCCCACCCTAACTATCCACAAAGGTACAATTCAGTGTCACAAGTAAGAGGCAGCAACTTAAATGTACATCGACACTAGTCATCTTAGTCTATAGGCGTAAAAGAAGGATTAAAAACCACTCTGTACCAATATGATGTGTTCATTGCTATTTATGTGCTCATTAAAGTTTGCCAACATTAAAGGGCTTAACAACTTCACAAACCGTACCCAGTGCAAAAGGGATTAGCATACCAGGAGAAGAAATGAGGCTGAGGAACAAAACCCTCATGGAAATTAATTCCCCCACAAAGCTGGAGTGGAGGAAGTCTGGCTTCCCTCCCACAGGAGGGTTTCTAGGAAGTCTGTACGCAGCACAGAGGGGAAGAATGCAGTCGCCATCCACTAATGGGAGGAGGATGACATGGCTCACTAGGCCAGTGTTAGGGCACCTGGGGTATGGAGGCCCTTGTTTTCCCAGGAGCCAACGGGAAACGGCAAGTTCCTGGGGTGAGCTGGTCATTTGCTTGAGTGGAGGAAGCCAAAGCCTGCCTCGGGTCCTCAAAGCAAGCGCATTCTACTTCAAGGATTAGCTCTAAAGGATCCCTGGAGCGGGTGCCAGCTTGGCTCAGACAAGAGTCGTGTGTACATAGTCTAGGCAAGTCACCCTTTGTATGGGCTCCCTGTTGGAGACAGGAATTTGCAGTGCAAATCCCCAACCCATGATAGTAGGAGTGGCCCCCTATGTTCTCACAGATGCTTGCCCTCAACCAAAAGCAATCGTGAGCATGCTCCCTTAAATTGTATCGAGCAGGTCTGACCGAGGTTACGCCCTTGCCTGAGATGGGCCAGTTTGGTGGAGAAAAACAGAAAGGGAGACGGCCTCGTGCTGCCTGTCTTTACCGTTGGTCAATTCCAAACCGTAAGGATAAGCCCATGGGTGTGCCAAGCCAGCAGGTTCTCTGGGCCCAGGGTGATCTGGTCTGAGGTCACCCTAGGAGAGTTGTACAAGCCAGTGCAGCCCAGCTGCCCATGAAGGAGCATCCAGTAGGCCAAACCTGCTCTGCCTGACCTGGGTGTTACAGAGCAGCCTGAGCACCAGAATTCGTTATGTCCAATCGTGCAGTCTGCTGAGGAGCCAGACTGAGGTTAAAGCAGCTTTTTTCCCGGAGTCTTCACTGATCTCCACGGGAAAAAAGAAGTCCCCAGGAGTACCAAGGTCTTCCTGAGACTGAAGCCCCACCAGACCTCGCCCCAGGAGGCCGGCGGGAGAGGAGTGCACTGTCCCAGCGATCCACACCAAGGCGGCTCAGTGTAAACAAAGCCTGGTGTCGGGGACAAGCGGATGCGGCCTGGTGTGAGGTTTCCAGAAAAAGAAAACGACCACGTCTAGCACCTGGGAGGGCTTGCGTGGGTCTGCACAGCAGCCCCTCACACCGACCCTTCGCGAGTGGAACAAGCTATTTGGTGGCTCAAGTCCAGGAGACGTGGACAGCCGAGAGAATTCAGGTGATGTACCGGAACGAGAAGTTTCTGTCCTCTGAAAGTTCGTACCAGAAACCCAGCGGTGGACTTTAGCATCTAGAACACAGACAAGCTCTCAAGTGAAATAAAGGATTCTCCTTCAAAACAACGGTCGTGCCAGACTTCTGACGCATGAATGTGTTCATGTGTCAGCTACAACCCCAGGTGCTTGTAACGTATGCTAAAGTGTAATTGGTACATGAGTAAAAAAATCTTTAAAGTTCACCTGTGCAGGTAAGACTCAACAGAAGATTGTGCTAAAACGAAGCAAAAAAAAAAAAATCTGCGGTCAGAGTCTGACCCACCGCCACGTAGAGACACCTCTGCGGACAGAGGGACTCATCTTTGGGTACTCTGCATTTATACCTACTGCATCCTGCAGATGAATACCAGGATTCACCTAGAATTGGTGTTCTGGATTAAATAATATAAATAAATAATGGAATACAACCATTTCCCCCCAGGGAAGGATTTTGAACCCGAGGAAGAAATGGTAGCATTTCAGGCCTCTGAAGTCAGGTGCCTGGACCTGGTCAGAGGAAAACTTGTCATAAAAGCAGCCCCTTTGTAGAGACTCCTGGCTCCAACCTCGAGTACCAAGTTTAGAAACCACCGGCCACAGCTAACCTAGCTAGCACTCCCTCTTCCCCTAGTGCAACTCACCAAGTGTCTGTAAGGGCTACACACACCACCCAGCAGGAACAAAACTCAACAACCATCCCCAAGCCCTCCCCGCCCCCACCTTCATGCTGGCCCCAGACTCGGTCTCCCATAGCTTACCAATGAGAGTGAGCACCTGAGGAAGCCATCAGCCCTCAACCCCCTGACATACATAACGTGTGCCCACAGGCTCCTTTAGTACCAGAGGGCTGGGTCCGCACAGTCTCGCCATCCGGCCTTTGGTGACTGTGGCCACCGGTAAAACCTTCCAGGCCTCAGGGGACTTCACCTCCGGCCTCTAGTCAGTTTTCCTCTCAACCTTCGTCTCTTCGGCTACATCTAGCTCAGTCAGGACGCAAAAGCAAATCTTCTGGGTGACTCTGGTGATAGCAGCTAAATGGGAAGAGAAGAGAACTGAGTAAACTGACATTCAGCTACAACCCCAGTCTGAACACAAGGCTGTTCCCAGCACATTGTGGCTCCTGCTCATCTCCCCCTTGGGTACCCCGTGCCAGGCTTTGCCCCTCACCCCCTACCAGCCACAGCATCCCCAGGCCCGAGCCCAAGCAGAGTCTTCACACTTAGATTGCACCTATAAGAGGTAGTGTTTTAACCCCCAAATAGGAGTCTAAAGATAGAAGTAAAATGGTCAAATAAAGATAAAAAGGGAAGAAGTCATGTGGGGCAGTCAGGTCTCATGGCCTCTAGCACATCACTAGTTTGGAGGAAGCCAGCTACCATGCCCATCTCTCCCGTGCATCTGTGAACACACACACACACACACACACACACACGCACACGCACACGCACACGCACAACCAGTGATGACAGGCAAAGAAGCTCACCCAGGATATTCCGGACAAAGAGCGGCCTCCGGGATTCTGGCAGGTAAACACCCAGGAAGTAGACGGGGATTCCGGAGAGGGAGATCCCAATGCCAATGAGGGAATTGATGGTGTCTCCAAAGAGGGGCACAATCACCAGAAACAAGGAGCATATGCAGAACACGATGGGAAAAAACAGGCTCAGCTGAAATGAAGGGAGGTGAGATATCAGGTAATGTGGGATGGGGGAACGAGATGGAAAAGCAGGCACCTTTGGGAGAGGGCCCACCCTTCTCGTCTGCCCAGAGCCACTGACCTTGAGAGGCCGGGGCCGCTCGGGCTCCTTCCAGCGAAGGTAGAGCTGTCCAGCCACAGACAGGCCCACAAAAAACCAGTAGCTGAAGCTGAAGTAGTTGATGAGCAGGAAAACATCCTCCACGATGAGGTAGATGAGTGACATTGTGCACTGGATGCGGAGGGAGGGAGCAGGAGAGGGCAATGTCACCACAGGGGCCCCACCAGATCTGCTGACCGCTGACTGAGCTTCACCAGATGACCTCTGGCTCTCTCCAGTGACCCCCTGCCCCCAGGAAGGTCCATTCTCCACTTTAATCTTCATGGTGGCATCTCTCCCTCTGCAGCTGGAGGCCCGTCCTCCACTCAGTGACTCCTTGACCCTTCTGAGGGCAGATAGTGAGGCCCTCCGCCCGTCAACC